CAGGCACATTTCCAGACTCCGGTCTATATATGGCAAAAGCACGGATGCTACTAATGAGATTTTTTTAAACCCAGTAATACCTCTACTTTGCCCGACCATGGAATCGAACTCGAGACCCCTTGCCCGGCAGTTGCACTTGCGACCACTCGGCCAACGAGGCAGACGGTACTCGGATTCCATATAATTACTCGAATTTTTAACTTATCCATGATGACGAAAAATATTGAAATGCGATGAATATGTAACACTAATAGGAAACAAATGACTACATATGGAATAAAAATTCTATGATTTTAAAATGAAATTAATTTGAAATCAGAATTCTTAGCCAAACCAAAGTTATTTTGATTTGAAATGACCAGTACTGTAGAACGGAAATTTTCCATAGATAAATACCTAATATTATTACTAAAAATATTTTCACAAGAAAATAAGTAGATAACTAAATCAAACTCAAAAATTATATACCAAAGTACTAGTCAACTACTGAAATTAAACAGCCAATTTAACATTATTGTACCGATCAGTTAAGTTATTTACCAACTCACGAACTAGTAAATCAGTTAAATCTCTTGTTTATAACCACAAGCGTTTTCTTACCACAAAGTACAAGTTTTGGAGATTAAGACATTATGTTGAAACCACGTTACAATTCCAATACGGGCCATGTATGGTATTTGGCCTGTTTGTATTTGGACAAGCTTTAAGTACGCTTTATCTTTCTATATCTAATCAACCGTCAATAGAAAAATAGCAAAACTAGGAAATATCAACAACTAGCTTTTACCCGCGGCTTTGCTCGCGTCACAAAAGGATGAAAAGTAGCCTATGTGACATATACCAATACACACAGCGCTATCTATACCAATACTTTTGTTTTCCTCGGGAATATCATTTTTTTCCGGGATAAAAGTACCCTATTATTTAATCCGGACTTCTAATTTTACTTCTGCAAAAATTCAAACAATCGGTTAAGTAGTTACGGCATGAAAACGGAACAAACAAACAAACTCACTTTCCAATTTACAATATTAGTAAGGATGTCTAATCAATGGTCAATAGAAAAATAGCAAGACTAGGAAATATCAACAATATTTACCTAACCCACCTAAAGATTTTCCAATAGCTGTATCATACCACATATAGACAATTATACCCCCTATTTATGAAATACAAACTAATGAGGTTGAGGAGCCGCAGCCGCGGCCTCTAGTTAGCACTTACGAAACAATGCATTAATTATATTGCTAAACGTTTGTTTTCGACATTTCCAATACACGAGAACCTTTATTAGTAATAACTAACTTGTACCCAAAGGCCAACTGAAAGCTTATTTACTGATATTTATTCCAACAGGGAACTAACAAAGCAATAAAACTCACTATTAATGAAACACCTTACCGAAAACTGAATGTCCGAGAGCCCTGACATTTATTGCGACACTCACTTAAACCTCGATTAGTGTCTGACATGTTCTCTCTCAGAATGTACAGTTAAGACAAGCTTCCTAGGAATTTGACTGGGATTTTCTCCTAGATTTATACAAATAGCTTAATTGCTTACAAGATTAGCTTAATTTACGATAGATGTTACCTAGGATAGCTAGATAAATCTTTAGCTGGGGCTAATTGTTGGAAAGTAGTCGTTAGGAAGAGATTGTAGATGTAATCGTGATAGTTGTCGCTGCGAATTATGTTTATTTTGGGGTCCATCAAATAAATTTTGAGTAGAATAGGTACTTGGTAATTTTGTTTCAAAATGTTGTTATTTGGTGTGCAGGTTTAGATGTTTGAAACTATTTTTAAACACAGACAGGTCACATCATGGTGTAAAGTTACTTTTGAACACGTCATCACTGAATAAAAATTGTACCTTTCTTTAAAAACAGTGGCTATATTTTTGCTGAATATTAAACCTATACTTAAACAGTTTATAGACATCCAGGTCTCTAGATATTTCTTAAAATAATTTCCAGCATAAATGTACTTCATAATATAATAAAGTCATTAATTGAAACCCGCTTTTGGTTCCGCGAATCTCGAGTACCGTAATTATTCAGAAATTAAATCTATCGTGGGAAACTTGCTATAATTACAGAATGATATTATGATCAAGAGAATTCGTTTTAGTAATTATTATTATTTAATTCGATGATGGAGTTCAATTGATTGAGTTCTTTATGTTTCCATCATCACATTTCCGGCCGATGACGAACGATGATTGCTACCAAATTGATGTTTAGATTTTAATTTAGTAATCTGTTCATCATTAACCGACTTCTTTTGTTTTAATTTCGGCGTATCAACACTGCCAAGTAAGAAGTTAAATAAAATATGTTATGAAAAAATAAGTTGTCTTATCGGGTTGGGAAAATAAATAATTCCTTAGGTTTTTTTATGGCATAAGCCGGTAAACGAGCAGACGGAACACCTGAAGGTAAGCAATCGGCGTCGCCCATGGACACCTGGAACACCAGAGGCGTTACGAGTGCGTTACCGGCCTTTTGGGGATTAGGAGTTTGAGGATCGTTGGGATTCAGGGAGTGGGGAGATTGAGGAAGGGGAGAGTAATTGGGCCTCCGGTAACCTCACTCACAGGACGAAACACAACGCAAGCGTTGCTTCACGTCAGTTATCTGTGAGGCCGTGGGTGGTATCACTGGTATCACTCCGGTCGAGCCGACCCATTCGTGGCGAAGCATGGCTCTCCCACACTTATTTAATTTTTGGATTTTTGGATAGTACTCGTATTAAAGAATCAAGTCGGAAATTGTATTATTACTGTTACAAGTTCGCTCTCTGAAACAGTTCATTTTTGTCTGTTTTTTACCAACTTTGAATTACAATTTACTACTCTGTGACTTCCATTAAAGGCTAATTTGAAATATGCGCCATATTCGACGAAACATTAAACAATCTTATCTATCACAATTTCAATCATTGAAATAATAATCGATAGCGTCTAATAACTCCAACCGTGGGAACACAACCTTATAACTTATTCAAACCATTTTCTACCACATAATTAATTGCATAAGGTTGATATTTGTGTATTTTGATTGTTACTAGTACACCTGCATTTTGTGTCAGCCAGTGTTTTGTTATTATGAACAATAACAATCCATGGAGTGCTTAGTTCTCGTATTTCTGTGTGATTTGGTCTAAATACATGTGAAACTTAATTTATGGAATTGGAATGAATATATTAGTATGTATTTTCGGTCTGTTCTCATGGGAACAGCGGCATATAGTTAATTAACATTAGGCAAATGCACTTAATGTATATTTGAACTCGTTTCCTTTAACAAAGCTTTGTCTATAAATGTAGCTATCTCGGAAAAGCCGTCGATAGAATTTAAAATAAATGGTGATAGTAAAGTTTCGGTGCCCAACGCTAAGTTATTTGCCGTGCATGGGGATTATGGCAATCCCCATTTATAAAGAGACATCTTTTTTCATTTGTGGACGTATTTCGACATATTTATTATGTATATAGTAAACCAATGCCAATTTTTACCGACTTCGTTTAACACATCAGTTCTGATAGGTCTAAAGCCTATGTTCAGTCGATATCAGGACTCAGCTCAGACACCTACGTGATACTAAATGACCTATAAGTGACAGTACAGAACAGGTAATGAGTTAGTTATGTTCAGTTGCTCACACACGCTAAGTAACTCTTAGTTAAGAAAAGTTTTAAAGTGGTTGGTAAAAACGGCTAAACATAAGTGTTATAAAAATGAATTTTACTCCCAATTCCGATATAAACGAGAGATTTTCGCCCGTAGCTTCTTATAAAAGTATTTATTTATTATCTGAATAAGTTTAATATCATGCTGCAACCTCCCATACCTGCTGATCATTAATCGCTAATCGTTAATACAGGTTATACTACATTATCTAAATGATATTGTTTACAACGGTTCCATATCGCGTGCTCTAAAGCTGCCGTCCTGTCGACCACTTTGTGGGTAATCAGTGTCTTATCTTTGAGCTAATTGTTTAGTATGTATACTTAGTAAAAGGTAGGCATGTTTGTGTGTCTGTAAAAAAATAAACGTGATATTTTTTAACTAAAAATCGCGATTTACTCATGTGAATATACTGGAAGAGCTCTACTAGTTTCGAACCACAGAGGGGTTCTTTCTCATGAGCAGCGTGCGCGGTCGCGACGATGTCGCGCAGCCTACTGATATTCACGTGAGTAGCCCGCGATTTTTAGGTAATTTAGTAGGTCTCACGATACGATACTATGTATACGACACGACACGATATTATGTGATACTTTTTTCGGAATTCTTATTCAATTTGGAGGATAACAGACAAAGAAAAGAAAATATGTCGTATTTATGCCAAACTAGATTTAAGTTCTTCCGTCCAAACTACTTGTCAGCGCTATCAACTCAAATACATGTAAACGTCGGGGTGAATGAACTAGAAGGTCACCAGCAAACCGACTTTAACGAAAGCCGAATTGCTAGTCGCTGAACACCTGGTGATCTTCCAAGCAATCAAGCAAAACCGCCGGCAATGTCTACCTCGATGAAATGATATTAACGACATTGTATTACCATCTAAATACATATTTACAAAATGGAGGATATCTTGTATTAAATTACCCCTGACTAACAGTCGCTAAGCTGTCGGACACATTAGCAAATTGATCTGGATTTGAATTTGGAACGCGTGGGCGGCATTCCAAAACGATGACGTTTGAAATTGAATGCCACAGATATTACAATAATTATGAATATCAATTTACAAGTTATTAGCTGTGATTAAAATATATTACTGAGTCATTGGTTTTTCAAAGCACAACTATAGAGCTAGGGTCCTGGGTACGAAGCTCGATTTCAGATTATATTCCCGCAATTCCCAGTTCAATATTATAATTATGAGTTTCGATGATAATTTTTGTTGCATGGTGGGTTTCATAACATACAATGAAAAAAGGGTTTAAAATATTATTTTTTATTTAAAATATTTTTCCCATTGTTACAGGGTGCAACTGTTCATCGATCGGTTCGGAGAGCAACGTGTGCGACATTCGCACGGGGCAGTGCCGTTGCAAGCAACACGTTACGGGCAGAGCTTGTGAAACATGTGAGGTTTGTATCTTTGAACTTACTTATCTTGCATTAAATTTTGCTAAAATTATACTAAAGAACCGGTAGAGAGCAATGCTGACTTACGTCTGAAATGCCATTTTATTGCGACAACTATTAAAAAAAAACCAATGAATGTACAGCATTATGCCTATCATAATACATAATATCTGTGGAACTTCCACTTCTAAACACAAAGTTCATTCATAAAACGCGCGCTGTCAAGTGTCAATCAAGTAAAAGTTATTAGTTTTAGCATTTATTACAAGCACGTAAAGTTCATTCTTACTCGTTAAATCACAAAGCAGCTTCATAAGCTTTCATGTTACAGAATTATGTTAATAATCTGGGATTCTAAGACATTCATTATGCAGACGTCATTTCAAAGTACACTAATTTCAACTTTATGACAAAAAGTTAAAGTTGAAAATCACAACACACAGTCGTAAATCATTTAAAGACTGCTCTACTAAGTACAGAGTCCCGTTTACAATGAAACACCTCCTGTTTCCCTCTGTCCTCAGTCGAGCACAGCTGCACAACACAGTTAGGATTCCGAGCAAACAATTTACATCCATTCGTACTTCGCATTGATATTCAACCGGCGGTCTGTTGGAATTGTCCCCGTAACATTTCTTGGCAATAAACGGAACGGACTCAGGAAACAGTCCACGATTTATACGAACCCGCTGTATGATTAAACAGGGACGGATTACAAGGGAATAATCAATGTAACGATGTTGTATGTTTGTTTTTCCGGCGTATAATGAATTGAGGACATGTTGTTCCTAGTTGATAAATTAACCTTTTCCTTCATAAACTGCCATCATAAAACTGTTGAAGGCAAATCCTTTGCTAACTCCGGTCACCAGTGACATACGTGGCAGTTAACGTGTTGAATTGATTAATTCTTTATAAGAGTTTCGAAAAATATAACTAGTCTCTTAATGCTACACTCAAGTGCATTTTATAGTTGTACGCTTTAATATGCTTGTACCAACAAAATCTGGCAGACAAATTGGAAAATTGCAGTCTTGACGCTTTCTTAAAGACAACTAAGTTAAGCCATAAATCAGGGAGGAGAGATGCTGAGACCTGCAATTATGTGGTCGAAGTAACTGCAGTCATTCGAAAAGCCTTAATATCCAAAGACCGAGTCTTTATAAATTGGTCATCATGCCCTGTTCGCGACTTCACTCTGGTGACCAGGTGCTTCAAGTGCCAGCAGTACGGACATGCTGCTAAATCATGTCGACAGACCTCTTTTACTTGCGGACATTGTGGCGAACAAGATCATACCATAAAAGACTGCCCAAAAAAATCAGATGAGCCGAAATGTGCTACTTGCCTTTACTTCAAGAAGCCCCACAATCACATGACTGGTGCTACTGAATGTCCTGCAAAAGTTATGGCCGAAAGAAGGTACATAAACTCGGTGGACTATGGCGACACGTAAGAACGCTACAACTTAATCTAAATATATTACAATTGCGCAATGTAAACAGGTTGACCTACTCATCGCCTAGTTGCTGTCTAAGCAGTTTATTGTAATTTGTACTAAAACAGCAAGTGTATGATCGTGGACTCTGACCTAGTTTATATAATATCTATGCATGCAAGTAATTTCTCGACTATAGTGATAAATAATATGCTTTTTGTCTAAGTTAAATCGTACCTAATTTTAATTATTTGAGTATTGGATACCTATTTATCTACCTACACCATATTGTCATGTTACTCTTAAGTTCTTTCACCTCTGCCTATCTCTTCCGGGAGTATAAGGCGCGAGGCTATGTATGTGTTTATGTATATTATATAGTCATATTTTATTTTGTCAAAATGATGTCAAGTATTAATGCATGTAAGAGCGTATATAGAAATAAAATTATAATAATGTTAGACCTACTTTCGCCTGTGACACAGGATTATCCTAGTACAGGCACCTAACCATGTGAGATCTATTTTATTTACCTATGAAATATTTTGTATCTGTGTCCATTTACATTTCTGAATAAAGATTTTATTTATATTATTTATTTATTTATAGTGTAAAAGTGTACTTAGATATTTTTATTATAAATTTTTGACTGTACGAAGAAAAACACGTATTACATAACAGTAAATAATTTTAATTCCCTAAAAATACAGACAAAAATAGATATCACTTTGCTCTACAAACAAATATTTCGATGTTGACAACTCCTAGGAAATATTGGTATATTATTTAGGTACCTAGTATCAATACCTTCGGAGTCGCGGAGAACCTAACGGGTTACCGGGGCTCCGGCTCGAAGCGCAGGAGAAGGAACGGGGTGGTTTTTAGTCAGTAAGAGTCTGACACTCCCTAGTAACTCGATGAATTTTTTTTAAAGGGTTTTTTTTTAAAAAATTCCAGTACCTACCCATTTCAATGAACAAGTTCTTTCATAAAATAAACTTGTCGTAAATAAACTTCGTATGAAGTACTCGATTCAATTGCTTCAATGTACTTTAGTTATAACTGTGAAATGAGAGAAACAGTAACTGTCACGCAAAATGAAACTGAATTTACACGCTGTCACTTACGATATAAGTACCGTACAGGGATGTATCTTACTGAGGTGCAACTTTCTTTTACTTTTACTAAATTAAAACTTAAATCTGCTTTATGAAAAAGAGTCTAGCGACAGAGGCTCTGCTATTTCGAAATATACTGATTATTATTCACTAATGTACTTTAACATAATTGTAATTCTCATAATCACTGTTAGATGACGGCCATGGCTGACGAATAAAGACGTCATTTTTATGTTTTTCTCTTCTTCTGACCAATTTTGACAACACAATTTTAGGTTTACCTAATCGACAGTCACTATTTTATATTACATCAACTGACATTATTAGCAGAAGTTTAATTCCTACCTAAAATACCAAACAAAACCTACGCAAGCAAAACAAAAACAAACCTAAAAAACCTTCCCAAATCCGTCCCTGTCGGCCATAATACCAATAATTGGTGTCGCTTGTATCGGAATCGTACCGCGGAGACTCAATTAAATGTCATTCGGACACTGCAAGTATTTGCGGAAGTAGGTCACAGCACATAGCTGCCTAGAGCCTATTTTCTCATGACTATAAGACCCTGGATTGTAGAAGATGAATGTAAGACGGACTTCAAAGGACTTGGCTAGTGAACATCTGGGTCAAAGTGAGATTGTTACGTCTATTAGTCTTGGATAATAAGCTAACTAATTAGTTTACGTAACGTCTTTTATTCTCTGGAGGGATAAGCAGAGGTGCGCATGTCTAAATGTTAAGGAACCGTGCCCTGGGACTCAATCCAGAAGGACATCAAGCACGGGTCAGTAATCTGTTACTATACTGCAAACATTCGGTATTCAGTACGTCTACACCCCTAATCCCATGGCAACCATAACTAAAATAGTTTCTCTGTAGAATAAAAGTCTACGGCACGATTTAGTACTAATCCGGCCGTAAACCGGCAAAATATCAACATCAATAATTTATTATTTAAAGGCTGGTCGTATATTGGAACATTATGATTTATTTTAGGCTGTAATCGACCTCTACTTTCCGACCTACACATGAGAAATCAGTAACTAAGTCAGACAGAATATTATTAAAAATTTTATGGTTTACAAAATTATTATGGTACAAGAATTTTTTTCTTGTATAGAAGCACTATTTTATATGGATTGTCAGTATACATATGTGAGGACCATGTCAGACTTAAGATATTTGTTTTCTCTTGGTTTTGTTTTTTTATTTTAGTACGTTCTCCTATTTGTATGTGGCGTCCGGTATTTCTTTACATTATTCTCACATGTGTGTACAATATTGGAATATGTATCAGAGCAGTGTAAAACAGACTTTTTTTAAAAAGAGTAACGAATGGAGTTTCTTGTTCGTTCTTCTCCACTCGAATCGACATTTTGGAACGAGCGCTAGCTTCACTGACGGACAGACTGACAGACTATTATTTATTTCATATTTGTTGACGTTTCAAAAGTACCAAATTATGGTTTAATTGAAGTAAATGCTTTTGAGTTTTAGTTTGAAGAATTTTGAAAATCTTCGGAATACGCTCTTTGAGTACAATAGTCAATGCACCATAGTCTCGTCCTATTTCCCATCGCGAAGTTTACATGTTCCTAATGCACCCTGGCTTTTTTCGCTCGGGGTATAAAAGGCGTGTTGTTTAATATTATGATTAACTATGTTTTAAAATGTAACATTGTTTTAATTTACTGCTTCATGCGCATTGGCTTACGTCCGCTGCGTGTGCGATGGTATCGTGTGCACGCGCATTCTTGTGCGTGAATGGGACCCTTGTTGAGTGAATGCCGATAGGACTTGTAAGCCATTGTGTTAGGTTCAACGCTCGACGATGGCTTTATTGGATATTGTTGCTTATTTGATTTACTTATTACATAATCTTTTTAGCCTATCTTTTATTGGGAGTTAAGTACCTATTTATGTGCTTTAAGAAATTATGGTCACTGTTTAGTCAGTGGTGTCTTTTTTTTTTTAAGGGGGGAAAATCATCAAATGACTGCTCCCGCCTGGGTGAGGCGGGAGGGAGTGTCAGACTCTTACTGACTAAAAACCACCACGTTCCTTCTCCTGCGCGTCGAGCCGGAGCCCCGGTTACCCGTTAGGTTCTCCGCGACAGTCAGTGATGTCTAAGGGTGCGTCCATATGTGGCGAATGTTGCGGGCGTGCATTTAAAAATATTATTTCGAACCTTGTATGAGTTGAACAGCAAACCATTGCCGTGACTGTATACGGCTCGCGAGCGGCATTTGTGACGTGATGTGGACGCACCTTTATAAACTAAAAAAGTATGAATAATGTCAAATTGGTTCTTGCCAGGCTTCTAATCCTCATTTTATTCAGCAAGCACTTTAACCTTTGTGTCCCTACGACAATTTTACTTTAATTATTACAAAAATTAAATTCAAATAGAACTTCTCCTATGTAATTAATGAATTTTAAAAGTCTCATGTTTACCATTTTAGTTTCGGTATACGATGATCTTTGCGCAATATGTAGGTATTATCTATGGTCGTCTCATGGCATTCTGCCAATCTGCCATTACGACTCGACTGATAGATCAGCATAAACAGATGCTGAGATCTCAAGATGTGATTAATTTTAGATTAAAATGAGGCAATGGGGTTACGACTTCATTTCATATTTTGAAAATATCTGAGCTAGTCTGTGTGTAGTCTATGCCAAAAAAGTAAACTAAAATTTAAAGTTACATGTGTAGTCATTTATAATGACTTATCTGTGATATACGACTTTATAGAGGTAACATTAATATTTAACACGAGTTTATTACAAAATAATGTATGTTGATGTCAAATCTAGCCGGCCTATCAAATCTACCGGCGTCAACAAACAAAACGCTTTCATTCGAAACGATAGTTTCATGTTAATTAATGAAACTTAGCATTTTAAGTGTTTATTTATTTGTTTGGCAGGAGGGCTATTGGGGTCTACACCTAGGCGGGTGTCGACGCTGCGCGTGCGGCCCCGGCGCGTCAGCTTGCGACCCGGAGACAGGAGCCTGCGCCTGCGCAGAGGGTGTTGGTGGTGCTCACTGCGACACCTGTCTCCCTGGCTACTACGGTTTCGGACCTACTGGATGTCTACGTGAGTACTTTTATTTTTTTTCTCCCATACGAACCGATTCAGAGTGAAACTTCGTGTTCCAGTCAATTTATTTTAGAATCTAGGTACTTTTAAATATCTGAACCTATAAGGCTATAAAATTATTGAATGTGATCGTAATTGTTTGTTACTACCAAAACATTGAAACATCTTTATTTACTTAAAAACTAACATTGATAAACTTACCTTCAGAATTCAATCAGCTTCTGTTTTAAGCCTTCTTGACTAATATAATCTTATTTTTTATGTTCCACTTGATACAGCGTGTCCAGAATGCACAGACGGAAAGGTATGCTCCCCGCACAGTGGGCGGTGTGTGTGCCCGGCGGGGTCCATGGGCGCGGGCTGCAGGCAGTGTGCCCGCGGGTACTGGGCCGTGGGCAACACTTGCAGGCCTTGCAACTGTGGCGCGGGCGCAGTCTCTAGTAAGTTTATACATATTTATAACAAGACAAGATAAGAAGAAAGAAAGGGCGTTTATTATAGAGAAAGAGATGTTATAGAGAAAGGTCAGACTGGAGGAAAATGCCTGCGGCATTAAGTCCGCCTTTTGTACATTTTGTGTATGAAGCTTTAAATAAACAAATAAATAAATGTTATCCATCTTGAATCCCCAAATCTCCCAAATAAAAATTTCTTACTCCCAAAATATAGGCAACGCTCTTGTAACTTCTCTTGTGGTGCGGGAGTAATCGATCTGCTCGGTTGCGGCCTATACATAAATATAAATTGTCCTTCTTTCTTTTTTACTGTTCCATCATCTTTAACCATAGGTTTACAAATATATTCTCCACTGTCCACAGACACATGCGACCCTCAGTCCGGTCAGTGTAAGTGCCGCGCGGGCTGGGAAGGACCCACGTGCGAGCAGTGCGCGCGCGGCCACTACGGAGCCAAGTGTCGGCCCTGCCAGTGTGATACTGCAGGCTCTAGAGACTGCGAGGACGGGCTCTGTCCTTGCGACGAGTGGGGACGGTGTTCTTGTAAGGTAAGGCATCTTTATAATTTACAGATTCCTATCTCTCACGTTGCTTCTAATCATTTTAACTTTTTTCAATAAGTTGAAGTAGGTTGACCTTATTTTTGAAAGAGAAGACCTCTTTTCCAAGTTTCAAGTTTTTAGTGATGACTAATGAGAACTCTGTTTACAGGAAAATGTAGTAGGCGAGAAGTGTTCGGAATGCCTGGAGGGTACGTTCGGTCTGTCAGCACAGAACCCAGTGGGCTGCACGGCGTGCTTCTGCTTCGGGCGCGCGGCGCAGTGTCGGCAGGCACAGCTCGCGCGCGCTGCGCTGCACGCTGCCGCACCACTGCATGTCACGCTGCAGAGACCGCCGCATGATGTCATTACTACCGTTAGTACCTTATTTGTTTTCCGTTAATCATAAACATAATGTAACGTTTTAAGCTCTCTAACGGTGTTTCCCATTATTAGTTGCTGAAAATATTCGAAAACTGAAAATCAAGTTTTCTGTTAACCGAAAATTTATGTGTAATCAAGTAATCAAGTAATCAAGTATGGATTATGTCGCATTAACAAACCAAAAACTTCCAACCACTGCTTTTCATCACTTTAAAAAACTAAACATACAATTTCCTTCCCAGATGGACCAGGACTCCCTCCTAGCCATCCACACTCACACAGCGGACGCCACAATTTCCCTCCCCTGGCCCCCTGTCCCTGTCTACGTAGAACTAGACAAACGCTTCGTAGGGGACCGAGTGACCTCCTACGGCGGGTCCCTGAGGTTCCGCGTGGAAGAGGAGGGAGGGGTCGAGCTGAGTAAGGAGGTGCTGGACCGGTTCCCTCTCGTGAGGCTGTACAGTAAGAACATCGTGCTTGATTATTTCGAGGTAAGTAATGATTGTGTAATGGTGTATGTCTATTCTTATTTGGTCGATTTGAAATAGGAGTAGGTTCAGTTGAGTGAAATGCTGAATGAAAGCTTCATAAATCGTAAGATTTGGTCATTATTCAATCGGTGTTTTTTCTTAGAATATTTATAAGGAAATGCTGATGAGTTCAGCATTTCCTTATAAATATTCTTATAATTGTTTATACGAAAACCTATTTGTATTTATGTAAGATGCTCACCTCTAATACTTATAACCTTGTTCAATTACTTCAGCTTGATCCAGCAATAAATGGGTCCCACGTGGTGCGTCTCCACGAGTCACTGTGGTCGGTCCGCGGCGGGGGCCGTACTCTGGGCCCCCGCGGCTCCCGGGCCGCGCTAATGTTGGCGCTGCGTCGCGTGGACAGACTGCTCGTACGGGTCACTACCAGGGCACCCACACACACTGAGCATGTACATGCATTGTGAGTCTACATTTAAATATCTTAACTTACCTTTAAACTGTCAAACACCAAGCGGTCACCGGTGACCGCAACCTATTGTTCTATAATTGTGTCTACAAAACCGGTACTCGACGAGTTAAATATTCAACAGTGTCACTAAAAGAGAAGTCGAAACCTGTTTTTAACTGACTGACTTATTTTAGGGTAACAGCAATATGCTGTCATAAATAAAAAGAAAAGAAATGAATTCTCTTTTCTGTGTGTCCAGGCTCCTCAACGTATCATTAGACACGGCAATTCCCGGCTTAAGTCGGTCCGAACCAGCATTAGGTGTGGAACTATGTGACTGTCCCCGCGGGTACTCTGCCAGCTCATGCCAGACTCCTGCCATCGGGTTCTGGATGCCTCCATCCACAGTGCACATGTCGACGGTGGCCGGTACCATCGTCATCAAACTGGATGAGGAAGCTCAGCCTTGCATCTGCAATGGCAGGGCCACTGAGTGCCATCCTGATACTGGAGAGTGTCTGGTGAGTTGCCTAATAAGAATCATTGTAATGTAAACAAACCCAATGTCAAGCTCTCCCAATATTAATAAATTTTCATGAATTTTCAACTTCATCACATTAGGTCGAAAATGCCACAGCAGAATAAATATTACGCCTTTAAAAATTTAAAATCTGTTCAAAGTATTTAACAGTTTAAGACAGTATGCTGGTGTCGTACTTAAAAAATATTTGGGATGGTTTCAAAGTCGTGTACTATTCAATTTAGTAAACGACAAATCCGTCTGCTCCGTAGAACTGCACAGGTGGTACAGGCGGGCCCCGGTGTGCGGAGTGCGCGGCTGGCCACTATGGGTCCCCAGGGGCCCCCGGTGGCTGCCAGCCCTGTCCCTGCCCCGAGCGCGCCAGGAACTTCGCAGACTCCTGCGTCATGCATGATGGCAAACTACAGTGTCTCTGTAAACCTGGTGGGTACTTCAAAATACACACTTTAGGAGCTATATTATGCTAAGTAATACATATTTTGTATGAATACTTGACTCATAAACATACACCTACGTGCGTATAACGAAAGGTCTCTGTTTAACTTAATGTTAATTTTCGAATGGATGTGTTATGAATTAGTTCACTTAAAATCATTTATTGTTACCTCACAGGCTACACAGGTCCGGAGTGCGAGCTATGTGCAGCAGGGTGGCGGCGTGAGGGCGATGTGTCGGGCCCCTGTGTAGCGTGTGCATGCGACCCGGCCGGCAGTCTGGGCCCCACCTGCGACCACTGGGGCCGCTGCCACTGCAGAGACTTCGCCACCGGACCACGCTGCGATCAGTGCAGACCGCCCAGGACTTACATGGATGATAATGGATGCAGACGTTAGTATTCTCCTACCAAAAAGTTATTTAACTTATTAGGTACTTTTTGTAAGGTTGGAAATCATGACTCCTCGTACCCTGTGTATAGTGAAAGGAAGTATCAGACTTTTCCTGACTAAATACTTCAACCTGTGCCTACTCCTTGCCATTGCCTCTGTACCTTTTGCACATCTGCCTGCTACCCCAGCAGTCTTATATTAATTACTTTAGCATGAATTCATGTATTCTAAACGCACACTTTATTTTCAGCGTGCGACAACTGCACCCAAACTCTCCTAGACTCAGTCGAGACGCTAACAGCAGAACTACGTACCAAAGCAGATCCAAGGGAACTGAGTCGTATACCGAAACCATTCGCCGCAGTACGAGAGTTCTCACACAACGCCACTGTACTTAGATCTAGTCTCGAACACTTAAGGAATAATTTAGTACATTCGAAAAACTTAGAAAACATATTAGGAGACCTAGAAAATGCTGAACATAGAATCTTCACGGAAGCGAATACTTTGAAGACTGAAGCTCAAAGAAGAGAGAAGGATGCTGACTACTTGAGTCTGGAGAGTATGTCTGCTTTGGAGGAAGTATTAAAAGTCAGAAGGAAAGTCAGCGAGTTAGTGGCAGTGTTAGATGAGTTCGCGAGAGGAGAGAAACATCTGAGTGCTCATAGGGCGATAAAGGAGGCACGCCATCTACTGCGACAGATCAAGGATATCAAGTTTATTGACTACGTGACCGGCGCCAATGATGTGTTTGATTCTGTGAGTACAAATATTACAAGAATAGTAGTTATTATATTCGCATTTGCAGAGAAATATTTTTATATTTATCTATTAAAACAATCATGAAATTGGTAAAAAAATGAAACTCTAAACTGCACAGTGCGCGCTGTCCGCGCTACTGGTTGCCACACAACTTTTAGAGTGTTCGATTCCCGCACGGAACAACTCTTTGTGTGATCCACATCTTGTTATTTGTGGGTCTAAGTGTCATGTGTATGTTAAAGACACAGGAGAAACTCCTAGTAGGTACTTATAGGGTAATTAAAAAAGCTAAGAAATAATGAAGTCTAATGACAATACTTACAATAAAATCGCAGGCACATCTCCAATCAACGGCAGTACAGGAGAGGAATTATAGACTTGAAGACACATACAGACGGCTGGCGAGGCTGAGATCTTCACTAGATACCTGGGAGATGAAGGCCGCAGAGCTGCAGACGCTGGCGGAGACTGTGTGGAGAGCTGATGATACTGTCGCCGCGCTCAAGGTGCAAGTACGACCACGATTGGCTGCACTCAGGGATCTGGGGCTGCGGTGCCGACTTGTGCTAGAGGTAAGTCCAATAACATATACCTAAGAGTTGCTATAATTTTGAAATAAAGAACCCTAAGAATAAAGTATATAAATGTAGAAAAGTTGTTAAACATAGATAATTAATTTGAAAGTGTGCGGTAAAGTACTAATCAATAAATTTGAGCAGCATACTCAAAATTGAAAATGTTACGCTTAGATGTAAGCGTTGTGATCTAGTTCAATCTCGTTGTAATTTATTGGCAAGAGTCCATGAAATAGAGGCAGTTTATAAACAAATAGGTGTTTATTGTTATTTTTTTAAACATAACAACTTTTAATATTGTAATATGTTACCCCTAGGACATCACAATATTATCAGCGCACAACATAACGGACGAGATTCGGAGCTCGTTACTCCAGGGTCAGACTCTGGGTATCAGGTTCCCAGCATTAATATCAGAGCTGGCGGTGCTGACCCAGGCTGCGGAGGAGAAGGAGGGCATACTTTACAACCTCACTCCCGTGTACAAGCAGAAGTACTTGGATGCCGTGGAGAAACATGTTGCTGAGTTGGGAATCAAAGCTAAAGAGTATAAAAGGTAATATTATTTGAGAGCGAAAATATTTTTTTAATAAGTTGTGCCACGAAGGAAATATCCCGAGGACTTTGTACAAACAAGGTCGGTTTACATTAAAATTAAACGAAACGAGACGGCGTACGTTTAGAAAGTGCTATATTATTTGTGAGCTACTATTTAATATGGGATTAAAACGTTCGACTATATAGTTATATATTTAAGTCACACAAAAGAAGACAAAATAGATTACAGTTTATGCATGTGTACTATGTCTTATTATGTTTGGTTGTTTTACATATCTTCAAGACTTCACTCGACGCAACAATTTTCACACCAGCATATTAAACCAAAAAATGTTTTTCCAGGTTATTCGCGGGCAGTCGTGCGGCAGCCTCGCTGGGAGTATCAGCAGCACAGGCTTGGTCCCAGGTGGCGGCGCTGGTCCACGAGGCAGCGCTGCAGGCGGAGGAGGCGGGCCGCGCGGCCGGGGCGGCCGCCGCCAAGGTACACGGCAGCGTGTCGCTGGCGCAGTCTGCTGCTACTGGACGACAGACATCGGAAGACTTAAAGGCACGAGGACAACAAGTGCTCGCTAAGGCTGATGGTATACTTTCATTTTATTTTGTTATTAACTTACATTAAACTTTACAGGAGACTTATTAAAGGTAGTGGAGTAGGTACTATATGCCTGTCACTTCCCACCAGTACACCTGGAAGTTTGGGATGAGTCTAAGCTCAGAGGTAGACTTGATGACAATGATGATTGAAATGATTAGTTGAAGCTTGTAAAAATAATTATATCGACTTTCGTGTAAATAAGCAAAGAGATACTTGTACTTTAAATAATGTTTTGGTTTAGCAAGAACTACAGACTACCAGTCCTTAGATACTTTTATTAAACTCAGAATGCTGCTCATGAATATAAGCCTATAGAATGGCTTGAAACTAGTCGAGTTCTTTGTCAAACAGCTACTTGAGTAAGCCGAAAACATAATAATTACCTTAGATACTTCTTTGTATTCTATCATAATCATCGTCATATTGTTTGTTATCTACATAGTATTGACTTCCAAATAGACTCATTTCATTGGGAGTGACCGGTGCTCGTTGCAATATTAACTTAAAAACCATTGTTATAGAGTTAAGAAACCAACTAGAACATCTGCGCCGCGGAGCTGACGTAGTGAGCGTTGTATTGAGAGGTCTCGGATGGCAGGAGAGGGAGCTCAGTGGCCGACCCAAGGCCAACGTGCAGGAGATCCTTCAGGCAGCCAACGAGCAGGCAGACAGGGTGTTCACCAGCACCAGGGTACTGTACGATGAGGCCAGTGAGCTCCGGAGGAGGGTCAGATACCATTTGAGAAGACAGCTCACTGAGTTACAGAGACATGGAGATACCGCACTAGGAGCTGCGCAAGAGCATGGTGAGTGGGTATCAATTAATATTGTATGAGGATGGTTGTGAAAATCATTTTTACTGGTCCTTAGATGAATAATAGTTAATTTTGTTGTGAGATCTAAAACAGTTGTTAATATTATTGAGATGCAATAACTTTTGAAGGTTTTCCAGCAATTTATTGCAGATCGTGGCTACAAGTATCTGTAGACAGGAAATGTAACTGTTCCAATTAAAAAAATAGTACCTGCAGTATATATGTATCTGCATTATTACTTTCTCCCCGCAGTGTCCCAGATCCGCAGTAACACAGTGCGCGGCGCGGAGACGGCGGGCGCGCTGGCGGGCGCGGCGCGGGCGCGCGCGCAGCAGCACGCCGCCGCGCGCACGCTGCTGCGGCCCGCGCTCGCCCGGCTGCGGGACAAGCTGGCGCGCGCGCGACACGCCGCGCACACGGTCCGCGCATACTGCATACTTACTTACAAATAACTACCCAATTAAAAGATACTATAACATAAAATGTTTCCAGATCTCAGTATCCCTAACATCAGTCCCGGGCGCGGGCGTAGGCTGCTCACGCGCATACAGTGTGACGTCAGCGTCCCCCGCCGTCACTCGCCTGGCACTCGCTCTGTCATTCGACAACAAGGTCAGGGACGGACCTCTACTGTATCTCGGAGATGATACACAGGTACTTTGAACTGTAAATCTTTTTATTGCATATGGCGGCAAGCGAACTGAAATCTGCGCCTCCCATGGACACCCGCAACACCAGTGGCGTTACTAGTGCATTGCTTGTTTTTGGATAAGGGGGAAGGGGATTACATCTCCGGTAACCTTACTCCAACCATACGTCCAACATACCTCAGTGCCTCAAGACGAAAGTCTATAATCTGTGTGTGTTACCAGTGATGAACTATGAAACTGAAACGTGGTCTCTCACTGTGGGCCTTATAAAGAAGTTCAAGGTCGCTCAGCGCGCTATGGAAAGGACTATGCTCGGAATTTCTTTGCGAGATCGGATAAAAAACGAGGAAATCCGCAAACGAACAAAGGTCGCCGACATAGCCCAGCGGATTAGCAAGTTGAAGTGGCAGTGGGCACATAGCGCGGAGAACCGATGGCTGTTGGGGCAGAAAGGTTCTCGAGTGGAGGCCACGTACCGGCAAGCGCAGCGTAGGACGTCCATTCGCAAGTTGGACAGACGTACCATTAAGGTCACAGGGAACCGCTGGATGCAGGTCGCTTCCAACCGGCCAATCTGGAAGTCATTGGGGGAGGCCTATATTCAGCAGTGGACGTCCTGTAGCTAATATGATGATGATGAACCTTACTCACATGGTTCGCTATAGTATATGATTCTAATGATTGGTAAAAAGGTACTATTTTATTACTGATTCACCCACCAAAGTGTATGAATGATCAAACTCAATACTTTTATAAGACTGTGCTTGGGTAAGAAAAGGAGTATACATGCCTTTGTACTGCTAAACTTCAAACAGATCAAAAATGTTTTTCAAAGTATTTACTTTCACCTCATCGTATTTTACCTTTTTTTAATTTATAACGTACACAGAATACGGAGCGTTACATGAAGTTATCAGTATTGAACAGCAAGCTGCACCTGTCGTGGCAGCTGGGGGGCGGGGAGGGGGAGCTGGTGCATCCTGAGATACTGCAACACACGCATGATGATGCAGACCATACTTCCTACAGGGTGGAGATTGAACGGTTAGTACGTGTGGAAGTAGGTTATCTTTGAAATATGGTATTGTATGCGTGTGTGTGCACTTGTGTGCTAATATGTTTTCTATTTTTCGACTATTATTATTTTGAACAGCTCAGTAATTTTCCCGACGACATCAAGTCAGTGCTTTGACTTGTACTAATGAGCAATACCTACTTATTCACCCGCACCACTAAACTTCAATAATGTATTGCAGTCATACAATACTAGTGCTTGGTAAATACATATAAGTAAGTTGTGATGTCTGTTACCAGGGTATGGAACTCGGTACAGTTAGTGGTGGAAAAAGCTGGCGCCAACGCCGTCACTGCGCGTAACTCTAGCGCCCCGCGGGCACACAGTCTACGCCCCCGTCGCTTGTGGCTGGGGGCCGCCAACCCAGCCACTACGGGCCCCACGTCGGGCCCCGGGCTACCGGCCTGCGTACACGCGCTATATTCGGACCAGCGGACGCTCGGATTATGGAACTTCGCTCACCAACCACGTGATGCACAGTGTACTGGTTGCACGCAAAGGTATAATACATTTTTTATTTACATATATAGTTTTATTCAGGAAACAAACAAAAAGTTTCTTACCAATAAATACCTAATTACAGTAGAATTGAACACGTCATGCAAACTTGGAGTTCCATATTTCAATAAAAATACAAATAGGGCACTAATTCAGCGCCTCTTAATCAGTTGTACATTTTAACGATATGAGAAAAAAAACAATAGTGTCGATGACCTAACCCAACTAACTGCGACGCTTTCCCTTAGGGCAGGGCTTTGTTTACCTGTGGACATTTGCTGGCTAATGATGATAATGATGCTTATATTCTATTTCCAGATGGTACAGTGGTCGAGGCAGCGAGCCGTCGATGGTATGGTTCAACGGTGCCGGGTACGTGGAGCTGGCTCGGTCCAGGGCCCGCCCGGCTGACAGAAGGCAGTTCAGTGTCGCATTCACATTCCGGACCAGGGACGAAGATGCTCTGCTGTTCATGGCACTCGATACTGCTAACGTATGTATAATTTTATTTTTGTACTACTATTGTTAGCAACTAAAGTTATGGTTGTCCTGTTCGTATCGTAAGTGAACACTTAAGTATCCTTTAGAAAATTGGGAAAATTGCGCCATTGTTCTGAGAAAAAGACTCGACGAAGCCACTGTCTCATTATGACCGGTAAACCATCATATTTGTGGCAATCCAGACATCTGGAACCTTTACTTACATCAGATGAAACGGAGCGGTTACGTCGCTATTACGTGTTGGTATTTCATGAAAATATCAACTTGCAAAATCCTCTTGACAATAACTACATACTTGACGTATCAATAGATCTGTATTTCCTGACACCTGGGTGTCTTCAAGGCCCTAGTGAATAGGTTCCTTATGGGACGATGTGCTTTATCGTAGGCCGCATCATCGTTTACCACCAGGCGAGATAGTTGTCAAACGTCGGCTCATCAAACATAAAAAAAAACAAAATGTTTGTGTTTAGAAAGATTAAAAATTATAATGTTTTCCTCCAGAACCGTTCAGTGTCAGTGTGGCTCCGGTCGTGTCGCGTAGTGTTCGACGTGGAGTACGGCGGGTCCCGGCTGCAGATCACGGCGGCCGGCTCGCACTGCGCCGGCCGGCCCGCGCACGTACAGGCCACCAGGGTCTTCGCCAGCAACAAGCTCGAGAAAGGTAACGTGCTCGCCAGCTCTGGCAATTGTCATTGAACTTTAGTTGGTAGCAAGTGAATCAAGTGATGTAAAAATAATAAATAAGTCACTATCTATTCTCTTCGAGGCAGTCGATTTTGGGACAGGACAGCAGACGGGACTTTATGGTAATCAACTAATGCCGCCCACGGCTATCCACAATGAGATAAGATGGCAAATGAGTAGACCAACCAAAAACTTCACTATCCATTGACATCCTGGCAATACTAGAGGCAAGACGTTACAAATTGCCAGCCTTTTGGGGATAGGAATTTGCCCATTGAGGATGGGAGGAAAAAACAGGCGTTCAATAAATAACCTCACTCGCATAGCTGATGGTTGCATACAACGTAAATGTTGTTCCACACCGGAGTAAAACACGACGCAGGCGTTATTACAAGCTGGTTTCTGTGAGGCCGGGGTATCATTCCGGTCGAGACGGGGCCCAATCGCGCCCAAGCTTGGTGACTCTTTCACGTCTAAAATATCTTCAATTTCTACTACTAAAACTACTTAAGATCGGAGAAATGTCGTGTAGCATGTGTATTGAGGTGGTCCTGTGGCAGGCAGCCTGCGCGTGAACGGCGAGGAGACGCTGGGGTCCCCCGCACCCCCCGTGCAGGCCGCCGCCGCGCTGCCAGACCTCGCCGCCGCCGTCTACTGGCTGGGGGGCGTCCCGCCGGGCCGCGGGGGCGCCGCGCCCGCCCCTCCACTGCTGGGCTGTGTCGGCGCTGTCACCGTGGACCGCGCTGGGTACGACCTGCTGGATGCCCCCACTAGGCACGGTCTGGAGCCACGCTGTGGGGAGAGGGTAAGACATGTGTATTTGTCGTTTAGAAGCTTATTGTAAGCTCATCATAATTTAATAATGTAGAAACTTTATGTATTTTTTGTATGTTTATGTTTTTGCTGCATTACGCTTAATGTTAAATACATTACTATTTCTTTATAGAAGCTATCATTACTATTTTTGTAAGTAATACTTATTCTGTAATTTCTTTTTCTTAATCCCTAGACACTTCGTTCAGCGATTGTATCAGGCGAAGGCTACATAGAGCTCCCGTCCCCCTCACTCCGCCGTAAGACAGAGCTGGGCGTGTCATTCAGTGCGCGTGCGCAGGGGGGAGTGATACTGTACCGCGCCCCTGACTCACCAGAGGACTTGCACTACCTCGCACTCGTATTGATTGCAGGTATGTGTAAAACGCTTGAAGTAAAAAATTTACAAAAATCTAATAAATTCAAGAGTTGAATTTCACGGCTGAGATTAATGACCGATCTGATTCCTAAATCTCTGGATTAATCTCTGTTTTTGACAGAAACTTGGTACAACTAGTGCCAAAAATTTTTTAATTTCAGTTCTTTTTTATCATATTACATTTTTTCATATATGTAAATATAATCATAATTTCATAATTATAAATAGTAAATTACTTTGATGTATTTGTACGCTGTTAATGGCAAGACATAGCTGTTAATATATCTGCCAAGCTTGTAGCAACTTTTATTTGAATTCAAATTTTGTAGGCGAGTTAGAACTAGTGGCAGCGGCTGGTAAAGGAGAGATACGCTTGCGAACCAACGGAACCAGGTTCGATGACGGGAGGATGCACACTGTGACGATAATAAGGATGCATAAACAGGTAAATTATATGAACCATCATTTTCATGTTTTAAAACTATTCAAGCTTCATTATTTTAAAAGTAACATAAAAAAACAAAAACGAGTCACTCTCCTATGAAATTATAATACAAATACAATCTAGACATAATAATGATACTACTTTCTTAGTATTACACAAATACACATAGGTACTTTATTGCTACACATGCAGTTGATTAAATGAAATAAAAATTAAAATAATTCATTGATTAACATTTTATCTTGTATTCCAGTTAGAACTATGGGTGGATGACGAGCAGTTAGCTCGAGGCGCGCTTCCAGGAGGGGCCTACCCCCCACGACCTGGGGGACTGTTCCTCGCAGGGGTGAAGGGGCTAACACACCCGGGGATACCACTGGAGTCATTCAAAGGAACCATCGCTGACTTCATCGTGGATTCCGAGTGAGTTTTACCTACTTATTCTTACATGTGTAGGTATAGAAGAAATAGCAGATTTCGATTGTTGACATTCTATGATAAAAATTAACCTTCTATTATTGTACAGTTGAGTATAAAATCTAGAGAAGATAAGGTTAGTGTCAGCAACTACTGATCCGAGAGTACAGAAGTAGAATAAATGCATTTTATTGATCTATGTGTTCTGTGGGTAGCTTTACATTTAAACTATGTTGTTTTTTGTTGTTGTTAAAAATGTCAATTGTAGCACAGAATCTGGAATTGTGCCCGGTATACGACAATAGGCTCACCCCTATTACATGGTACTCAGAACACAAAATAGTGAAAAGTGGGTGTTACATTGTACAGTGGTATTAAGCGCTGCCGTAATGTACACCTCTGCCTAATTCTTCGGGGGAAAATAAGGCATGATGTTCGGTTACGTTGTATTTTTGTAAAGTTTTAAGTTCTCTCCAGATACGAAGTTTTTAAAATAACCCTGTTTTGTCTTAATCTTAAGGGTTAATTACCTATTATTATGTCTATTTATTTCTCCAGGCTGATAGGTCTAGAGACAGCAGTGTCATGGCACGGCGCCCAGTTGGGTCGTGCGGAGGAGGGGGCGGGGGCTGCACCCCCTCCACCCCCCACACAGCACGCACAACATGACGCCGCGCCCACATGTACTAAGGTACTGTAGTTTTATCATCCAGTAACTACATTAATATCCATTGGAACACAAAATTGTTGAGAAGAAAAATAATGAGGGTAACATCGACATAACGCGTATAATCTGCAGTAATTTTTTGGTTTGAAAAGAGTGAGAGAGATGGCTATGCTTTCGGACTAGCGCTATCTCTTTCTCGGTCATAACGTCTTAACTATGGTACTATTTAGAGAGAGATAAAGATAGACCGAAACTTCGTTTCCTCTCTTTCTTTCGGAGTGCCACAATTCTCATCTCTAAGGCATGTCCATTAGTGTATATCAAGGGATGGTAAAAACGTCTTTTATTTTTTAAAGTAAGGTATTGAATGTTTCTTTTATGTAATAATAGTTGTAATCAACAGCTAAAGGCTGACTTTGCCTGAATGACATGGGTTTCCATGTATCAAAAACGAATAAAATTGTAAAAACAATTTCTTTTTGTCAGCGTTCCGAGAGCGTTTCGTTTACTCCTGTGTATCTCTTATTTTTTTTAATTTATTTTAACACTTTAAGTACAAATGTGTATACAATGGCGGGCTTAATGCCAGATGGCATTCTCTACCAGCCAACCATAGTGTTATGCAGAGATGTGTTACAGTAGGTTCTTATGTCTTTATGCGATCTCAAAAAATTCTGGATCGCCATATAATATTTTGTTATTAAACTAAAACTATAATTAATTTAATAAGTCGACATTCCCTAGACATCATCGTACACTGTGGAGGCAGGCGCGGTGAAGTTTGGCGACGTACCACATAGCCACGCCTGGCTGCGCACGCGCAGACGTGGTGATATTGCCATCACGCTGCAGATACGGACATATGCTACTGATGGACTGTTGTTACTGGCACCGGTATGTACTACTGATTACTGATACTGAGTATCAATCATGATACTTGTAATTACAATTTGAAATCGTGTTCTTACCTATATAATCCAGAGATGTACTGTGATTTGCCAATTGATATATTATTTTCCGATATTATTCTTGACTGCCTCTTTGGCCGAGTGGTTGCAAGTGCGGCTGCCGGGCAAGGGGTATTGGGTTCGATTCCCGAGACAAGTAAAGTATTACTGGGTTTTTAAAAAATCTCAGTAGTAGCACCGAGTCTAGAATTGTGCTCGGCATATGGCAATAGGCTCACTCCCTATTACATGAGACTCATAACATTAATAGTGAAAAATGAGTGTTGCATTGTACAGTGGCATTAAGTGTCGTAATGTGCTCCTCTGCCTACACCTTCGGGGATAAAAAGCGTGATGTTATTTCCTTTATATAAATAATCTGCCTTATTGTTTTTAATTGAATTGTACAAAACTGTAAAAAGTGTGAAAAAGTAATCGAATAATTACTGAAGAGTAATCACTTTTTCCAACTACACAACACATTTCAACAGGGTTCGAAAGCAAAACCAAAGCACTTCATGTGCCTAATGCTACGTGAGGGCAAGTTACGCTTGGTGGTGCGCGGGCGCAAGCGGAAGGAAGTGACCCTCCCCCCCACTGTCAGTGACGGCGCCTGGCGACAGGTGTCGCTGAAAGTAACGCGGGGCCGAGCCTGGCTGGCATGCGCAGGCGCATCCGCCACTGTACGGGGGGCCGCTGCCAGGGCGCAGAGGCTATATGTAGCTGGTCTACCACCTCCACCTGCACTACCTAATCTGCCTAATGCTGTGAGTGTTCATTACGTATTTCTATTATTGGTCCGATACTATGATTTTATTGTAGATGGTTTGTTAATGCACAAATTATTGTTCTCTGTTCTTATTCTTGTCACCTAATGGACTGAACATACACCTCACTAATAGCAAGTTTGTAGCTTATTTTAGGAGTAAATTATGAAGTACGTATTTTCTATTAGATCACCCGTATCCCTGGTTTCCGCGGCTGCATCCGTCGCGTATCACTGAATGGTCGTGCAGAGGACTTAGTGAGAGATGCGCAGGCGCACCACGGTGTCGGCCAGTGCTTTCCTAATGTAGAACAGGCTGCTTACTTCGGAGGTAAGTTGATAAGTAAAAATCTTCATGATAGATGGAACAGAATACCACCTTTGGAAACGTAATAGTTTACCGGGGCTCCGGCTCGAAGTGCATTTAAGAACGGGGTGGATTTTAGTTAGCAAGACTCTGACACTCCCTTCCGCCTTACTTAAGCGGGAGAAGTCATTCGGTGATTATCCTCCCTTAAAAAAAATGTACGCCTAATTATAATGTTGATTATTACCTACTATATATAAAATGTCAATAAACAGTTTTTGCTATAAATATACCTAACAAGTAAACTACAAAAGCAATTTTGTTAAATACTTACAAATTGTGGCACCTTTTTTAAATAATATCCTTATGTATGTACTTTGAATAGGTGATGCGCATGCGACCTGGTCAAGTTCCTGGCTACTGACATCAGACGGTTCCGAGGCATCCACTGAGCTGAGGCTGCAGTTCCGGACTAGTGAACCTAATGGAGTACTACTGGCTGCTGCAGGCCTACTGCTTGAAGTTAAAGATGGAGCTGTAAGTCAACTATTACTCGTAAATAGTGATTTTAAACGTTACACAAAATTACAATAAGTTGCATTACGCCTTACTAAACTACACTATGGTACGGTACGCTGCACTATTGCACTGCATTGTACTGAACTATAATACGTTATTGTGTGAGTGAGGCTACCAAACATCCAATACCCTACTCCAAAAAGGCCGCTGCAGGCACTTGTAACTCTTGTGGTGTAGCGGGTATCTATGGGTAGTGTCGATTGCGTACCATCAATTGAAAAATAAATGACATTCTATTCTATCCTATTCAACATCTGCTTGTTTGCAGACCTATTCCTGGATAAAAATACTATACTAATAAGGATCGTTTTCCCTAGAGTCGTGTCTAGGGAAAATGACTACAAATGACGCTGTTAGCACCAATTTAGAACATATACAGCACGATCATTTCATTCGTATACAAACAGTTTATCTTACAATGTATGTATGTTTGTGAAGTGGAATCTTGCCACCTAATTTTGAAGCAGATATCTTTATAAACCGATTGAAGTGATCTCACGTTTAGTAGAACCATATTAGAGGTATATGCTTAGCTGTTGCAAGTAACACTACCTAAATTAAATGAAGTAAAAGCTACGTGAGTAACCCGCGATCTTTAGTTAATTTCATCAATCTCACGACAGTTACTATAATAAGTAAAAGCGTGTTGTGTGATTTGGATGTATCTGAGTATCTCGTATTTGTTTCGTCCAGGTGGTGCTGTCCCGGCAGGGCGCGGAGCGGGCCCGCGTGTGGTGGCGCGGCGCGGGCGGCGGCGGCGCGTGCGACGGCGGCTGGCACGCGCTGCGGGCGCGCGTCACGCCGCGGGCGCTGCAGCTGCAGCTGGACGGCGGGGACGTCGTCCGGGACGCGCCCACGGCACTACTGCTGGACTCCACTGATACTGCTGCCACGCCTACTGCGCTATACATCGGCGGGCTGCCTGGTATGTCATATTCGTTGTTACTTGTGTGATACGAGCTTATCTGTAACGGTTTCTTTGAATTCTTAGTCTACGATAGAATAAATAGTCTCCTCTAGAATGCCCTGAAACTGTGGTCACTCATATTTAGCTGACCGTTCGTTAATCAAAAATACACTCCAGAAAGCGTCTCACGGTCTTTGAACGGTAATACCTCAGTTCGACACGAAAGTACTCTAAACTATACCAATCCATGTAATATTTCAGAAGGTGTAATGGAATCAACAGAAGGTGGTAAGAATTTCAACGGATGCATCCGCGACGTTTCAATAGGTGGTCAACAGCGAGACTGGACGGAAATGGAGTCTATACATAACGTCTTACTGGACTCCTGCCCAATACCACAGTAGACTCTAAGTAGCAAGCTATTAGGTTCAAATTCCAGTCACGAAACTTGGTAACAGTGCCATGCTTAGCCGATGAAGAGATTGGTGCAAAATGTTTGAATCATACATTTGTACCTATGAACATAAAGGCTGAATTAAAATAATTTGAGTTTTAAATGATTTGGTAGCGACATTTTATCTTTGTTAGTCTTATCATACGCTGCGCCGCGAGGGTGGCGCGTAAATACGAGTCCCGTCCCGTTATAACTTGAAATCAGTAGAAATTTCCTCAAAATAGCTGCAAAATGAGGAACGCATTATTTTTAATTTAGTACCTATATCCCTCATACTGCAAAAATTGCACCATGTGGGACAAAGATAGATGTCGCTACCATATTGTTTGAAGTCTGTAACGTGCCTTATATTCTGTAAGTTTTACCAAATAGTGCCATTATAATATTGTACCCACATAAGTGAGTAAAGTCTGATTTACAGCCAAACCGACAATTTGATTAAAATATAAATATCTACATGAATAATAATGAGTTCTGAGAAAAATCAGAAAATAGTCTGGTGTTTTGTTTTGATAATATCGTGAGTTAATAAATTGTTAGCAAATAATTAATATTAAAATCATGATAATCTAAAAATAATGTAGGTACCTACGACCTATAATTTACGACCGATAAAAATAATCACTGATATTTATGGTTCTCGCAAATCAGATATTTTGTCTGAGATAATTATTATTTCTTTTGGATATTTTGTTTTAATCAAAGTGTTGCCATTAAACACAAATATTTTTAAATGAACAGTTTTCTAATAATGCCTTGCAATACGTGTAGAAATGTGTAGACACTTAGACAGTGAGGCTTTAATGAGGCTATGTTATAAGTTAATTATAGGCTAGACACTGTCGCGAACTATTTAATTCACATTTTAATAATATTCTGCCATAGAATACGTAATAAACATCATTATTCAAACTAGTCGTGATTACTATTAACATAAATGACTTAGTAAAAATACATTTTTAAAGATTTATCAAAGTGAATTTTTTTTCACGAATTGAAGTAGTCCGCGACAACAATCACTCCAGCGACCAATACTCGATTTAAAATGTAAATACACGTACTTAATAACTGCTACCAGTATTTTTATAATAATTTGTACATATTAGGTAGACTACTTAACTTTGTTTTAATTAATAGACCTAAGTTTAAATGTATCGAGTAGGTAAAGCTTGACCACAGATAAAACTTTACAGTCGCGCCCATTTGGCGGTCTTTTATATCTGATTGGGCTAGACATTCAGCCAGTTCCTTGTTTATGAGTTTTTTTTTTATTTTAAATAGTTCAGCAGTCAAATAAAATATTTATGATGATGCGTACTCCTTCAGTTTAATCAGTCATCTAACTGATTAATCTCAATCAGAAGCTCCGATTTATTGATTTTATATTTGAGAATTTATAAATAAACCGAACGTTTTTACTAAAAATAGATTGACAAGTGACTTTAATTTATAAGTAAGTACAAAAATAAATTATTTATTTATTTTCTATCATGAATAGTTTCACTCAAATCACATGTATGTACAACAACGAAGTCTTAAAACAGTAAAGTCCTAGATAAAAAAATAAAATGTTCTTCACTTGATGACTTTGCTAGATTTGTTTTAAATAATAATTGATTATACTGATCAATTATTTCTTTGTATGTATTTTATAGGTTCGATCTTTTTTCTCAAATAAATTAATATCCTTTGTTTGGAAATCTTACTGTTAATGTTTTACCTGGGGCATGACTTTTCCAGCCACCGTGTTAATGTGAACCGAAGTTATTGTTGAAATAAAAATAATGATAAATGGAAACAAGATTTATTTTACTTTTTTACATGTTAGCATTCACAAAAAAGTATTAAATTAAAAAAATACTCATTATTCAGGAGTGGAAGGAGGGCAGGGAAGCCCCGCATTGGTACGATCACGGCTGAAAAAAATAACTACTTCATTATAGTTCCACTATAATACCTAATCACTTGCAACAATATAAACCATATTTATTCCGAAGAACCTATCTGGAGTTCATAATACAGCAAAAAGTATATAATAAAAGGTGGATAGTATTTTTTTCTTTTTATTGGCAACAGAGTCCTAGAATAATTCTACACACTTTAGTAGGTACAAAATTATAATAAAACATTCATGTACGACTAACTCTGAAGTGATGCTACCCTGGTATGGTGGTGTTTTCTCGAAAGTCATGATGCTCCTTTTTGTGTAGGATTCTTTTAGATGTAGTTTTTACAGTTTTTAACTTCGGAATAAAATAGTGTATCTTTGTTGATTAGTGGAGTTCCACACAAAAATATTCAATACTCGTACATAGTTATGTACGAGTAATGAATATTTTCATAGTTATGTACGAGTATTGAATATTTTTTAGTTTTAGATCTTTTTTGTAATAATATTGTAAGTAAAATATTTTACCAGTGGTCGTACCCCTTTTTGCTGCACAGAAATGTTTTATCCTCAAAATTAATTTTCTAGTTTTAAAATTAGTTTTATTCTATGAGCACTTACGTTCAAGTAATAAGTACTGTTGTAAATAAATAGGGACTTGCTTTAATAGATAAAAGAGCGATGTTTGTCACAAATATAATTTATTAATTAACAAACAAGTGTTCAGTAGATATAATTGTACATAGTTTTGGTCGTTGTATATAATATACGTATTTATTGTAACAAGCTTTTGAGGAGAAATAAAAGTCGACTGTGGCAATAAAAAACATTTATTTCTTTTTCGAATCGTACATCAATCGGCACGGCTTACGAAAACATGAATATTTGATACTAAACAGAGATAATGCTTTGTTAGTATTTCACATTTCAGTAAGTTGTCTTCGGTCCACTGTGCGGGTGACTTTATACATGAATAATACAATGTTCTGTTAAAATATATAAACGTTGTACAAGTCAACCGTATAGAAGACTTCATCCGGACTCGGAACTCCCGACAATACCCTTCGCTCCATCACCTGGCGTGTTACCTGCAGTCTTTAGTTATTTATTATAGCCGACTGCAAATAACGTAGCCGCATTACTGGGCAACTCATTGCCATTTCTAATTAATATTTTATACTCTGGCGATAGTTAATGAAATATTATCTGTGATCACCAGTCTTGCCAGACTCGTATGAAGAGGAATGCCTGTCTCAACTTTCACGAGATAGTTATTGTACTTGGTGACGTAATGTAACTTGAGATATGGCAACACTGGTGACCACAGATGTACACAATTTAGCAATGACATTGTCCAGCTTTAATGTTACACTTAAAATAGTCTGAATACTAAATTCTAATAAAAGAAAGACACTGCATTCATTTTATTATCGACTAACTATACCTAAACGGATCGTTTATAATATTTATGGATATTATGGACATTTTGACAATAAATTGACCCCATATACATATAATGTTTAGTTATACGTGCATATAACTGAAATGAAAATAAAATCTTTGGACTAAACAAAGCACATAAAAATATAAAAAGTCTACAAAAAAAACGGTGAAATAAAATAATTATTGCGAAATTTTGACAAACAAAAAATACTATTCTATACACACAGTTTTAAAATTACTACTAAATCACATTTTTACAATGTTACTGTATCTATGTTGTTTATTTTTGAGTTATTTTACGCTACTATGGCCGAAAACAACAATGGCTTAGGAAATACATTTTTTTGAGAAACACATTTAGTACTTAGGTTACATTATGGTCAGTTCTCGAATGCAACCACAGAGTACTAAAAGTACGTAAATTGCTAAGACAAGACCGGAATCAATTAGATATGGAATAATTGTTTTAATTTTGAGCAAATTCAACTATACACTATCTGCTCGCTATTTTAACACTGAAGCCAAATTTGGGATTCAAATACTTGAAATATTACTGGCCAATATGGAAGATGTCATTAACATTGAGATTGGGACGAGAAATTAAAGAATTTAATATGTATTTTACTTAAAATATTTTCACATTGACCCAACGTTGGACAAATCCTTGAATTTATTAAAGCCCAGCTTTAAAAGATGTTATTTATATTTACCACAGTAACTGAGATGATACAAATGGAAGGTAAGCAGAGTAGTGGACTGTAGTCACGTGTGACGGGTGGGGGTAAATGCGATGCAAACAATGTATAACTGTTTTCTATATTTTCATATATTGACTACTTTCGCCGATTCGCTGAGCGGCTGACATCTGTAAATAAGAAATGGCTTTATTATAAACATGCTTAACTAATAAATGTTAAACACCTGGAGATACTCAACCAGTGAAAATCCTGCAAATTAGGATCCTAGATCAACCAAAATAACATTAAGGAATTATAAACATGATGTTTCGTAGACCCATGTAATCATTTGTTATTCCATTGGAGGAGTACAAAGGAAAATAAGTAGGTACAGTTAAAAAAGTGTTATTTAACACCCAAAAGCATTGATATGTAGATAGACTCGAATAGATTGACTGCACGGTTGGTGCGGTGGCTGGGCAACTGGCTGCCGTGCAACGTGTCGCGGGTTCGATTCCCGCACGAGACAACACTTTGTGAGATCCACAAATTGTTGTTTCGGGTCTGGGTGTCATGGTGTATGTGAACTTGTATGTTTGTAAACGCACCCACGACACAGGAGAAACTCCTAGTGTGGGGCAACGTTTTTTTTTTAAAAATAAAAAAAAAAAAAACAGAAAAAAAAAATAGATGAATATGACAATGGGTTTGTCGTCTGGGTTCAGTCTCAAAATGGTCTGAGATCTTATCCTGGGATCATTGAAAGCAGAAACTACATCTGAAGGGCTACATACCTTGCAGTCTACATGGAGAGGTACCCGCGGGAGGCGGAGTACCGGCGGCCCACGAGGTACGCTATCAGCACGACCACCACCAGCCCGCCCAGCGCACAGCCTACGGCAATGGGCACCGCGTCGGGGACGTCACCGCCGCCGCAGTCGCGGGCTGTAATATAATTATACGTATATCAATACAATCACAATAATTCGTTGGCCGAGTGCTCGGGTCTCGGGTCTCGGGGTCTCGGTGCAAGGGGTCTCGGGTTCTATTACCGGGTAGGGCAAAAGTATAACCTGTTTATTTTTCAATCTCAGGACTTCTTTTAAGGGGGAAAATCATCGAATGACTGCTCCCGCCTGGGTGAGGCGGGAGGGAGTGTAAGACTCTTACTGACTAAAATCCACCCCGTTCCTTCTGCACTTCGAGCCGGAGCCCCGGCAACCCGTTAAGTCCTCTGCGAATCTCAGTACTAGCACGAAGTCCGGAATTGTACCCGGTATATGACAATAGGCTCACCCCCTATTACATAGGACTGATAATATAAAATAGTGAAAAGTGGGTGTTACATCGTACAGTGGCAATAAGTAGCCTAATGTGCACATCTGCCTACCCCTTCGGGGATAAAAGGCGAGATGTTATGTTACAATCACAGCATACTTCCAAATGTAGTTACACTATTATAACATGTCTTATATTCTCTGAAAGGTGAATGTATTTTCCTTATTTCTATTGTAGCAGAAGGGTAATTGCAATACACTAGTACATTTAAAAAATCAAAAAACTTAATAATTATTTGAATAGCACAGGAATAGAATAAACAACTCATGAATAGAACTCATCAAGTTTTGACTTGGTCACAAATTCTACTAATTTCCAATGTAATGCGCAAATTTGTATGTTTATATATTATGTATGTCACTCCTTCACCTCAAAACGGCTGAAGGGATCGAGATGAAATTTGGAACAGGGGTAGATCGTCTGGAAAAACAGATAGGCCATTTTATTCAACTGAAACGCAGGCGAAGCCGTTGTCAGTAGTATTTATAACTTAAAAAGTATACTATACTATCTATTACATTTTAATAATAAGAAAATGGTTTAAAGGTCAAAGCATTCATTTCATTTATTTATTTATTCAAACCGTGCACTTACTGGTTTACAGTGGGTACCAAAACGGCTAATTAATTAATACTCAATTAGGCACATTTGAAACGTTAAAAATTTAATTGCTGATATACTAATATTTATTTTAGAACACTATCATCATCTCTACGAGTTAACATAGTAACACTATCTGCAATTCCACAGTGACCCTGACCGTCTCGTACCAACGATTAAACTCGCCTGTATCGTGGTTTACGTCCACTGAACTCTAGCTTTACCCTGTAATCTCTATTTCCTAGCAATAGCAATACTAGAAGTGAATTATGCGAATGCGAAAAAATCATAGTAGTAGCATAATTGAGCCTGGAATTGTGCCAATATGGCAAAAGGCCCTTATTACATGGGACTCATAACATAAATAGTGAAAAGTGGGTGTTAGTTACATAGGTACGGTGCCATTAAGTGGATAAAAGGCGTGATGTTATGTGTTAAAGAGAAAAGTACCTTCATCATGAAAACTTATTCTACATCCAGAGAAAATTGTGGAAAGAATGTCTAATGTATTTCATTCTTATATTTTATCATTCAATATTACCTCGACAAATAGGTCATTGACGTCTAATCGATAAGTATCAAATCAATGTTGTTTTTAACAAAACTGGCGAGCCTGCACAAGCTGAACAAATTGATTTTTATGCAGAAATAATGAATAATCGCAAGCGCCAAAGAACGGCGTACAAAAAGCGTGATAGTCGGGAGTTGCGTACGCGCCGCCAGACGTTTGATAACGCCTGATAACGCAACCGATACAATCGGGACTGTTCGTGATGCCTGAATGGTAATCTAGTTGTTCACTGTACTATGAGCTTGTATTTAAAACTTATAAAAATGCAATATTATCACACTACTGAATTCTGATGACTGCCTCGTTGGCCGAGTGGTCGCAAGTATGACTGCCGGGCAAGGGGTCTCGGGTTCGATTCCCGGGTCGGGCAAAGTATTATTGGGTTTTTATAAATTCTCATTAGTAGCACGGAGTCTGGTATTGTGCCCGGTATATGGCAATAGGCTCACCCCCTATTACATGGGACTCATAAGTCATAACATAAATAGTGAAAAGTGGGAGTTACTTCTGTGTGCACCTCTGCCACCCCTTCGGGGATAAAAGGCGTGATGTTATGTTTATGTATGTATGATTACTAAATTCTGCTAGTTTGGTTGTCAAACCTTCAGGAGCTTTATAGTAAATAACTAAAAAGTAAACTATTTAATACATATTCTTAACGGTTCAGTAATTTCGGAGCCTATTTAAGACAAACAAACAAACAATCAAGTCTTTCCTCTTTAAAATCTGTATGTTAGGACCCAACGTTTATTCGCATCACATTTAAAAATACATACATAAAACTCGTTGTTTTATTTATCATGTTATTGAAATAAATATCCGGTTCCTCTGCTCTGAGTCAGTGAAAAAAAGATTGAATTACATAATATCAATTCCACGAAGAGATGACAATGAAAATGACTAAATTTGTAAAATATCCTATTTCAGACAAAATAATGAATCAATGTAACTATCGAGTGTAGAACAGTCACATGTTATTAAACTGTCAAACACCAAGCGGTCACCGGTGACCGCAATCTATTGTTCTATAATTGTGTCTACAAAACCGGTACTCGACGAGTTAAGGGCTATTTTACCGCG